TATTTCTTAGAATTGCATTTTGATTTATCTAAAGTGTGTTTTAGACAGAGTCTCGCTTTGTCACCCCAGGTAGAATGCAGTGGCATCATCATATCTCACTGCAATCTCAAACTCCTGGGCTCAAGCAATCCTCTTGCCTCAGAATCCCAAGTAGCTGGAACTACAGGTGCACACCACTGCACCGGGCTTATTTTTCTATTTTTAGTAGAGATGGTGTCTTGTTCTTGCTCAGGCTGGTCTTGAACTCCTGAGCTCAAGTGATTCTCCTGTCTCAGCCTCCCAGAGTGTGCTAGGATTACAGGTGTGAACCACCATGTCTGGGCACAAGTAGGCTTTTCTTGGGGCTTTTTAGTCTGTGCTATTTGGTGTTTTGAAGTTGTCTGCTTCTTTAGCTCTAAGTTTGGGATAATGAGGCAGAAAGAAAACTCAGGGAACTTATCACTGGATTGCACCTTGATCCTTGGACAGTTTGGCATCTTCTCTCCACCTTGCAGCAGAACCCCCCACCTTTTTTGAGATGAGATCTCACTGTGTTGTCCAGGCCGATCTCCAACTCTTAGGCTCAGGGGATCCTCGGAGGTGGCGTTTTAGCAGTGTAGTATTTTTTGTGCCTGTGTTTTCCCTACCAGACTGGATTTCTTGGGAGCCAGGACAGTATCTTTTCCATTTTTATATTCATAGTGTTCACCATTTCTACAACAGAGGAGAAACTTAATAAATATTTGGACTTAAATTATGCTAAACAGACTCCTAAGGTATTCATCTTACAATCCAAGTATTTTTCTAATGTTCTGACTGTATAGAGAGAATAGGAAGGGATCTGGAAAGGAGTTGCAGTGGAAATGCTCAAAGGCTGCGGGCAAATTATTAAATGTTTCAGAGCTTGTTTCTCTTGCCAGTCGGAAAGCATTTTACTGGCTTTGGCATGCTAAAAACAAGCCTATAACAAGATCTGAGGCTGTTCTTACTGCGTGGTGGTAAAGTTGGGATAGGATTCAGTCTGAACGTGGAAGGTGGCTTTCAAAGCTGTGCAGCTCACCCTAGAGGTGAATGGAATAAAACTGGATTTCAGCCTCTATGTAAGAGACACATGTTTTCTCTTTTGCTGACTCTCCTGCTATATTGTTTTATGACTTTTAAGTCAGTCAGTTGCTCAATTTCTTTTTCTCATTTTCATCTAAAAAATAGTGTGACAGTATCTTAAAAAATTAAAATGTAATGAGAAAATATGTAAAACCCTTTGATATGTAGTAATTAAATGAAATATGTATTATAAGCGCAGAACTTAGTCATTATAAGTAGCAGCAAAGGAAGCCTAATGTCAGAGCCTAGGGTTTTTTTTTTAATTGAAGAAGTTGTAGTATGGTATTTTAATAAGAGTTCCAAATGAAAGGGTAGTGCAGGCTGGGTCTAGCTTTGAAACTATAATGAGTTTGGGAAATTGTAGGAGTTTTTTTCAGCTTACTTTGAGTTTACGCAGAAGACACATAAAACGTGGATCTATGTATAACCTAAATATTGAGTGAAGGAAGAGAACCTAAAAGGAAAGACCAAAATATTAAACACTGTATTTATCAAGTAAAGAATGTGTGTGTTTGTGTGTGTTTATGATTAGGAAGAACACTTTTATTTCATCACCATTAGTTTAAACATGAGGTTTAAAGAAATGTTTTGTTTCCTCAATTTAATTTCTCTTTTCAAAAGGTAATCTTGCTTGGGGAAAAAAATTACAAACAATATAGGTATATGACTTAGTGAAGATTCCCAATATTCCACCAACTGTTTTGTTTCTATTCTTTCAGATCTTTTCTGTGCATATACTAGATTTTTTTCCAGAAATGTGCTTATACTGACATAATCAGACTCTATTGCTGCTTGGTTTTGTTTTCACATCACAACACAGTCTTTTAATGTCAGTATGTAGACATCTATGTTACTCTTTTTGCTGGTTGAATTCTGTGTATGTACCCTCAGTTAGCCAATATCCTATTGTGGAACATCTGGATTATTTCTCACTTTTTGCTGTTACAAACAATGCTGTAGTAAACATCATTTTGTGTACATATTTGCTTTCATGTGTTTTGGTAGGATTGATATCTGGGAGTGGAGTTACTGAGACAAAAGTTGTGGATATTTAAGATTTTGCCAGTTGCTCTCCTAAAGTGTTTATCAATTCATAGTGGTTGAGAATTCTTCATCTCAGACTATCTCAGGCCACTCCTTTCTTACACTCTCAAAGCACCCTGTATTTCTGCTCTGTAGCACTTCAGAATTGTATTTAAATAATTGTGTCCTTGTTTTAAAAAATTCCCTCCGTCCTCTTATTGCCACCTAAAAATATAAGTTCTGTGTGGATAGGAAGAATGTTATTATATTATTCATATTTATATCTCTAGCATCCAGCATAATTCTTTAACGCAGTAGGTAATAAATATGTCCCTACAACCTCGCCAATACTTAGTGTTTGCCAGTCTGACAAATGTTATATCATAGATTATTTTACCATATATTTAAAAATTATTCATCAGTGTGAACAACTTTTCACATATATTTATTAACTATTTGTATTTCTTCTGTGTTTCTCCCCCAGTTTTCAACAGGGCTGTCTTAAAATTGATTCAAAGAGCCCTTTATATTTTAGTGATACCAACAGTTAATCATGTGTATTGCTGATGTTTTTATCCAGTTTGTTACTTGTCTTTTGAATTTGTCTATGGTGTTTTTGGGCCATATAAAAGTTTCAAATTTTTTTGTAGTAAAATTATAAATCTCTTTTTTATGGCTCTGGGTTTCGTGGCACATGTGGAAGGGTGTTTACCTTTCCCTATAATTCTATAGTATTATATTTTCTCCTAGGACTTTTTGATAGTTGTACCAAAACTACATTGTCAAAAATATTACTATTTAAACATTTCGTTACTGTTTCCCTTATATTAATAATAATTTGATCTTAGTTCTGTGGGTATATATAAATTTAGTGCTTAGTACCAGCCCTCATGATGAAATCACTCCAGACATTTTGCTAGGCTGATATTTGTTTTCTTGGAGATTCCTCAGTCCATAGAAATAATATTTCCTGGGTTCTTCCATGTTCAACACAGTTTACCTGTGACTTTTGTATTTGAGGGTCTGTTAGGTTAGTTGGGAAATCCTTGGCTTAGGTTTTGAGTATCTTCAGTATGTTACTCTGTTGTCAGCTGTCAAAGTCTGATGACAATCTAATTTTTCCCCTCATAAGAAACTTGGTTATTTTGCGTAGATGCCCAAAAGATTGTTTTTCTTTTATCTCTTTAATCTAGTAGTTTTACTAGCAGTGTTTCAGCACTAGCCATTCTCTGTTGACTTTTCCACATGGTGAACCTTTCTAATATGCAGTTTCATGTCTTTTAACTTGTTTGGAAACATGAAGTTGTAGTTTTCATGTGTTTCATGAGCCTGTCTTTCTGGCATGCTTTCACTGTCTACAGAGACATTAGTCAGTACAGTATTTTCTTTTTTCTTGTGTGGGATCTGACCAGAATTCTTTCCTGTTGCTTTTAAGCCACATGGAAATGGTGGGCCAGGATAACCTTCCTAGCTTTGAGGCTCCCAAGTTCTCTCTTCTATTGTTTTCACAGTGTTTGTATCTATGACCTTGGCCTTATACACAGGCTTTGTTTTCCCTCCTGTACTTTTTATCTGGATCTTTTCTTTTCTTTGCCTCTAATGCCCCTGTTCTGCTCACTTTGGAGTCTGCCCCAAGAAGGTTTCTTCAGTGTCTTCCAGGGCCTTTGTCCTGGAAGAGCTTTGATTGCTTTGATTTTAGAAACCGTAGGATCACAGATGATAATAATGCCTGGTTGCCGTGGTTTCTCCCTCAGCCTACCCCTGCCCACGGCTGTGCTGGGTAGACCAAGCCTCCTTCCCTTGGGCTGCTTCCTGCCCCCTCCCATTGTGCCCATTGCTCACATATGGTGGTTGTAGTCAGTGGGCACTGGCGGTGCCCTTTGAGGTGGTGAACCTTCTGGGGACATCTGAACCCTGCAGGATGTCTAAGTGGGCACATCCCAACTCTCAGCATGTTCCTTCAACTCAACCCAAAATTGGCCAGGTATGTATTCATAGTTTGTGGTTTAGGACTGTGGCAGTTTTCCTACTTTATCTGAGATGATGCTTTTTTCTTCTGTGTATCACTAGTATTATTGTTTGGGTTAAAGGTTGCTGGTGACAGTGACGCAAAATAACTCCTACTCATTTTCAGCTAGAAACTGATTGATATCTTACCCTGCACGGTCTGGCTTCTCTCTTCCTCCCTGCTGTTAATTTTAAGGCATACTTGTCTGTTTTTAATTCTCTTATTAGTTACCTTTATACTCTTAAACATTATGCTAAAACATAATGTTTAAAACTCAATTTATCAACTTGAGAAAGAAATCTTTCAATATATCTTTCTGAAAAAAAAATTATCATACTAATATTTGCTCCTTACTCCCTGAACACACACACACTTCCAACCTTTTTTCTTTTTCTTTTTTTGAGACAGGCTCTTGCTCTTTTGCCCAGGTTAGAGTACAGTGGCATCATCATAGCTCACTGTGACTTCAAACTCCCAGGCTCAAGTGATCCTCTTGCCACAGCCTCCTGAGTAGTTGGGACTACAGGTGCATGCCACCAAGCCTGGCTAATTTTTCTGTTTTTTTGTAGAGATGGGGTCTTGCTATTTTGCTTAGGCCATGGTACATGGTGTAGTCATAGCTCACTGCAGCCTTGAACTCCTGGGTTCAAGCAATCCTCCCACCTCAGCCTCCCTAGTAGCTAGGAGTACAGGTGTGTGCCACCATGCCTGGCTAATGTTTTTTTTGTGGGGGTGGGGTCTTGGGGGTGTCTCACTATGTTGCCCAGGCTGGTCTCAAACTCCTGGCCTCAAGTGATTCTCCTGTCCCTGTCTCCCAAAGTGCTGGGATTACAGGCATGAGCCACTGCACCTGGTCAACTTCTTAAAATTATATTCAGTTTTGTAGCCATAGTTAACCTAGGCCATTTAGACTTAATTCTGTGCTTACTTGGGTTTGGTACTAACTACTGCTAATTCATTCATTGATTATATTGAATACCCTGAACCACATGTTTGGGATAAGGAAGTGAAGAAAACAAACAGAAATCCCTGCTCCCTGGAGTTTAATGTACTACATGGGGTGGCAAACAATGAACCTAATAAATGAATAAATCGTATAGCATATTAGAAGGGAATACGTGCTAAAATAGAATAGGGTGAGTGAGGTTGAGGGTACCAAGGGCGGTTCGTTCGAATTTTAAATAGGGTGGTCAGGGAGGGCCCCACTGAGAAGATGACATTTGAGCCAAGACCTAGAGTAGGTGACGGCATCAAATCAGCGCACATGGATGAAGCAGCCAAGAGCAAAGACCTGAGGAGGAGTGGGAGGAGTCCAAGGCCGCAAAAGTGAGGGGAAATGCTCACGGGACAGGAGGGCATGTGGGGTGCAGATTGGGAAGGGGGCTTTGTAAGCCAGTGCATGGACTTGAACTTTTACCCTCTGTGAGATGGTGAGGGTGTTGACGTGGTCATTCTGCTATGTTGAGAGCAGACTCGGGTACAAGAGTGGAAGGAGGGAGGGGAGTTGACTTACTGCACGAAAGCCAGGTAAGTGATGTTGGTAGATGAGACCAAGGTGGTTTGAAGCTATGAACTTTCCATTAATGAGCACATTTTTACATTTAACTATTTGGTTGGCTGTATTACAACTACATTTTTCTCAAGGATTCTTGAGTGTGATAATGCTTGAGTTCTTTCATATTGTAAAATGACTGTTTCCTTACAAGTGGCATTCTAGCTTGGTAAAGAAGTCTGGGGACATGTCTTTCCCTTGATGCTCTGTGGACATTGCTGTTTTGTCTTCTGACACTGATGTTCTGGAGAAAACTGCAGATGGTTTTTTCCAGCATTACAGGTTATCTGCTGCTTCTGCCTCTTTGTTGGTAGTGTCATTAACTTTGCCAGGATATGTCTTGCCTTGATTGCACTCTACTGATTTTTCTTTGCATATGGTGAACCTTTCAAGCTATGGATTGAGTTATTTAATTTCAGGAGAGTTTTCCTGTATTATATCTTTAATTTTCTTTTCCTGTGAATTTATTTGGTTCTCTTCTGCAGAATTACCAAGTTTGTGTCTGACAGATCTTTACCTCCCATATCTAACATCCTTCTGATCACTTTCGCCATTGTTTTCCTCTATTCCATTTCCCAAATGAGTTGTCTCTTTCACTGACTTTTTCAACATTTTGATTTTACTTACTGCTCTTCTTCGTGTAGGAACAGGTAACATTATGTGTTACTAATTTTCTCCATTTTAATCCTTGATGACTCATTTTTCTCCCTTACCTTTCCTCAGAGGGAAACAGTGCCCACAGGGCAGAATATTCCCTGCTGCAGCCTGTCACTCAGTTTAGAGAAACCTGAAACCTGCTTAAGATCTAGAGAAGTAAGTATCAATTCTTGTAGTCCTCCCTCAATTTTGTTCAGTGAATCCTTGTCTCTGGGAAATATCTGTTGTTCGGGGGTGAGGTTGTTCTTTACTTTCATTATGGGTTGAATTTCCTTCTCTATTTTGGCTTTAACAGAAGGAGAGGGTAGATAAATATGTTTTCTTTTGTAAGAATTCCCAGACTTATAGCTTAAAAATTTCTATTTTGTGAAAAAGTAATACATGACAATATGCAAAATACGACATGTTCCAAAAGGGATATGGGGAAAAAGCAGTTTATCTTCCACCTCTGTTCCTGAGCCCTCCGTTCTCAGCCCCAGGAAGGATAAATCTGTAGAATACATTCCTGGAGTGGAGTTGCTTTGTCAAAGGATATATGCATGTGTGCATTTGATAGATATTGCCAAATTGCTTCCCATAGATGTTATCAATATATATTACTAGCAAAAAATGAAAGTTCCAATTTCTTCACATTCTCATCAACATGGTGATGTCTCAAACTTTTCATGTAGGCATCCTTTATGTATAGGGAAATTAACTTTATATGGATATCAGTAACTAGTGTTTTGTTCCAAGTTCATTCAACTATGTTTATTTATGTTTTAGATATGCAGAAAGATTTGGTTTGTATGTAGTTGATTTTTTCTTTTATATTTTAACCTGTACATTTTTATATTATAAATAGACTTTCCCTACACTAAAACTCTAAAGATTCTCCTGCATTTTCTTCTCCTAATTATATTATTTTCATTTTTTTCCTTTAAATGTTTGATACTGCTGGAGCCACTTCTGGTATAAGTAGTAAAGTGGGGTGCCCAACTGTAGTTTTTCCCAGATTCCTATCCTGCTGTCTCAACACCATTTATTGGTTCCTTTGGAATACCAGCTTTATTATATATTAACCTCCTGTAGGTGTTTAGACCTAATTCTTGGTCTCTTCCATGTCTATTCATGTACTATTATCTATTCCTCTTTTCACATACTAGGTCTATTTTATGTCGATTTGTTTATTCATGTACTGGTATCAAACTTTTAAAACTTAGGCTTACCATATTTTTAAAAATGCTAATTCACAAAAGTATTTTGGAGAGAATCTTGTTGGAAGTATCTTCGCAGTAAGACATTTTAGATAATTCAAAGTATAGTCTGCTTTTCATTGTTAGGACATATGTTTACTTACCTACTTTGATTTTGCCAATGGAAGTAAAGACTCTTGGTTGGTCATTCTATATTTTCTCAACCTGGCTCCCCAGTGACTTAGGAAATGAATTTGCAGGTAAAATTGTCAGAGGAAATTAGGATTTAAAAAGAAAATTCTGGAATATATTGGTACTAACTGGCTCAACTTAGGCTCACATTTGATAGTTTCATCTTAGTAAGTATCTTCCTTTAGTTAAACTGGCCATGGATATTCTCTAGGAAAAAACTGCTACTAATTTTTAGATTAATGTATACAGGAGCTGGGAAAGAGGAACTTCTTCAGGCACAATTTCAGTTATAGAAGCACATATTTGTTGTTATGATCTTACAAGTTTGGCAGTTGCCTTACTGAAGATAAAACATAGCAAAGTTTGTCCCAGATAAGCACTTGGTTATTTCTTTAAAAATCTTATTTAAGTTATTTCTTGAATTTGTCAAATGCTTTCTTTTAAAGTACATATTTATGTAAAAATTGTTTTAGTGCTTTTTCTTCTTTTGAATTTTTTTCATTCATTTGTTAATTCAACAAATATTTATCAATTACCTGTCTATGCTAGACAGTGTTCTAGGTACAGATAGACAGGGGGGAACAAAACAGACAAGGACCCTGCTGTCATTGAGTTTATAATGTAGTGGAGGAGATTAGTAATAAAAGGGAAATCTCAGATTGTGCTTAGTTCTGTGGAGAAAATAAAGCAGGTGGTATGATAGTGAAATCACCTTGGGGGCAACAACTAGTGGGAGGTCAATATAGTTACATTTAACATTAACTGCCATTTATTAGAAAGGCAATATGGGAAAATGGGAAAAGCATAGACTTTAGACTTAGATAAGATCCTGTGCAAATCTCAGGTTTTCTACATGCAAGTTGTGTGGCCTTTACAAATTACCTAACCTCTCTGATTCCTAGTTTCCTCAACTGCCCACAGGGGAAAAAAGAATACCTAACTCTTTAATTTGATCAGATCCCATTTGTTTATTTTTGATGGTGCAGCGATTGCCTTGTCTTCCTCAAAAATTCTTTGCCTAGGCCAATGTCTGATAGGGTTTTCCCAACATCTTCTTCTAGAGGCAAAGATATATAATGTAACCAAAATGTCAAAACAAACAAACAAACAAAAAAGAAAAAAAAACTTTTTATCAGGTGGGGGCAGGCGGGAGGGGGAGGAGGAGAGGGGTGTATGCTTACATAACGTGTGCAGTGCACACCATCTGGGGATTGAACACGCTTGAATCTCTGGCACATGGGGGGAGGGGGGGCAGGGGCAATATTTGTAACCCTAACAATATTTGTACCTCCATAATATGATGAAATAAAAGGAATAAAAAAATAAAATGTTAGTAAGCCCTTAAAAAAAAAAGAAGCATGGGGTCTGCAACTTACTCTCAAATTATTTTAAAACAATAAGTGTGTGTGTGTGTATAGAGAGTGCAAATGTACCAAAATGTTAACAGTTGGTGAATCTCAGAGAAGGATATACCAGAGTTCTTTGTATTATTTGTTTAATAATTCTTCTGTATGTTTGAAATTGCTTAGAAATAAAAAGTCTTAAAAGAGTCTAAAATTTAAAAAAAGAATACCTAACTCATAGTGGTTTGTTAAGGATTAGATGTAACAATTTAAGCAAAAATCCCTAGAAAGGTGGTTGACCTATAATAGTTATTTTATAAATAGTAGCTAAAATATTACTAGCTTAATCTCTTTATTCATTAAAAAATTTTAGATAAGAAATTTCCCCCAAATTTCCCCATGATTTCATTAGTTTTGATATCATATATCTAATAAGATGGCATGTTTCAAAGAAAGCTCCCTTAAATGGCCATTTGTGCCAAATGTCACCATACTAACTGCTAAAATGAGGAACTGCTGATATCAGTGTATTAATTTCCATGATTGTCAGTGTTTAATGTTCATCTACAGTTGGTCAGGTTTTGTTGAGGTCATAAAAACAGAATGGGAACTATATTTATATTGGACATTGTATTAGAACAAATTTCAGTAGCTCTAAAAGGTAATACATCAAAGAATCTGGACATATAAACAGAGTTCTAGCTCAGAAACAGTAGCCCTGCAGCTGTTTCATCTGTTCCATATTGAGGAGTATGACAGACTCTGTCCCAAAGATATTTTAAAAACCTGATCCATACTATTAGGGGTCCAGGCAGGGATCTTACTAGGTCACAGGCTGGGAGCAGAGACAGTCTCATCATTCTAAGTCTGTCAGGGCCACTGATGGAGATTTCCATGGAGGATATTCTGAGGCCCAGCTGAAGTCATCACTTCTTAGACAGGCAGCCCAGTCGAATGACATAGGGAGGAGCAGAGGCTATAGAGGGGGTAGGGAACATGGTAGCAGATAAGCTGGAATGCCGAAACCTGGAACAGGCCAGAGAGATGAAACATGGGTCTGCACACAGCAGTAAGAGAAGGTAGGAAGGTGCAGGTAACAACTAAGCTGATTTGAGATTTATTTCTCAGTATGAGCTGGCATCCATCTTCCCAACAGTCTGTTACCTATCCGTTTGCCCCGCAACAGGGCCACGCTAAATAGCACCCATTCTCTCCCTTGGCCTCAGGTCTCTTTGGCAAAGGATTCTGCTAAGACTTTTGTCAACTGTCCCCATTTATATTTTTTACTTTTTCCCCTCTACTGATTTATTCTACCTCTACCTATACATATACTCTTATGCTTCCTGTCTTTCAAAAAGAAGTCCACCAAAATCCCCTACTCTGACCTCTAACTCAATAGAGTTCTTTTCCATGGCTCAGTTTTCAGGAGTTGCCTGACCCCACTTCTTTTGCCTTTCATTTCCTCCTTAATTCTGTGACCTTACGCTATTCTTGTTAAAGTCAGAAGCTACTATCTATGAGTATGGTCATCTGCCTGCTGGACATTTGAATGTCTCAGACATTTCAAATTCAACATGAATTGAACTCATATTCTCCATTTCCATACTGTGGTGATTTTTAAATATATCCAGAAATTCTTTGACACTTCTTCTTTCAAGAAGTGGAGCTTAATTCCACTCTCCTTGACTGTGTGCTAGACTTAGTAACTCCCTTCTAACTAATGGAATAAGGCAGAAGTGGTAGTGTGCGACTTCAGTTCCAGGTCACTGAAGACATCGTAGCTCCCTTGTTGCTCTGCCTCCCTCTCTCGGATCACGTGCTCTGGGGGAAGCCAGCTGCCATATTAGGAGGATATTCTAGCAACCCTCTACAGAGGTTCACTTGGCAAGCACCTGAGATCTCCCACCAGCAACCAGCACTGCCTTGTCACGCATGTGAGGGAACTCCTTGAAAGTGGAGCCACCAGCCCCAGCCGAGCCTCAGATGATGCAGCCCCAGCTGTCGTCTTGACTACAACCTCATGAGCAACCCTGAGCTAAAACCAGCCGCTAAGCTTCTCCTACATTCCTGACTCACAAAAACAGTGAGATAATAAATGTTGGTTGTTTTAAGCTGCTAAATGTTGTTGATAACGTGTTATACAGCCATAGATAACCAATGCACATGGCAAACCTATTTTCCCAGTCTCAGCGAATTTTACTCAAACCAGGAAATTCCTTCTTCCTCACCAAGATCCAACTGGTGGCCACATCATATTATTTACATTTAGGTATCTATTGATTCAGCCTGTTCTGATTTTCATAGTCATGCTCTTAGTTTATTATTTCTCATCTAGATTGCTTCAGTTGCCTCTTAACAAGTTTTTGCCCCCAGCTGTGCTCCCTTATAATCTCTCCTCCACACTGCCATCAGAGCAGTCATTTTGAAATGTGAATTTGATCATCCT